TGAAGTGAAGGTCTGACTACTGGAATACTTTAGGTATGGAATGGTAACCAATCTTTAGCATTGAGGATTGATGGAATTGTGATTGGTAAGGAGGGGACGTTGAAGCAGGGCAAAGACGAATGGAGGAAGAACGATGTCATGTCTGCGAGGCGCGCGTCGTAAGCGTTAAGCGACATGCGCCCTGTAAAATCCCGTGTACAAGTGTTACATTATGTACATGGCTACCTAAGGTACCTAACCTAGGTGGGTAGGTACCTCCTAGGTAAGTTTAGGTACTAATAAGGCTTGTCCGGTTCATACCTTATCAAAATAGGTACATATCACCTCGCGGTCGGGCTAGGTGGGGGCCATTAGTTTCAGTCAGGCTCAATTAAGCCACAGCCCTGCCCTGATTAGGAAGCCTACGCGCTTGCTGAGCCAATAAGAACCTTAAGTCGGCGCCCCTTAAGTAGGTACATAATCCAGGGCCCAATCTTTAAAGGAATCCATCTTGAATCCTCAATCCTTCCTCAACCAAGCATCTCGCATGTCCGCCGGGTCTCGCCAAACGAGGCCTGGACTTCGAGATTCGTGCTATACCACACCAATCAGAAACATTCTATGCTAGTCGGTTGGGATCCGTTCATATCCAAAATGAGTAATCCTTGCTTACCGAACAGGCCGAATAGAAGACAGACCTTGTCCCAATTGACTAGAATAGGTCATTCTAATTCACGATGGGTACACTAACAGCTTCAAGGTTCAGTGCCTCCCGCTCGTCCCGCCGTAGACGGATCAAATCAGTGCTGACTTATTTAGTTTAGGTAGTCAAGAACCGAGCGCGCCGCACGTGGAGATGCACAAGCTGCTAGGATTCTATTTCTACAACCTCTGAAGTTTAGTTGCAACGGGATGCAGCGGGATGGTGCAAGACTCGCTAGTGTTACCCAGTCGACATACCCGATAGTCTAACGTTACGAAGGGGAACTTTCTATTTTCTTTCTAGAAAAGCTCATGCAACCCTGAGAATAACCTGGAGGACCGTTTGAAACAGCGAAGAATCCGATGAGTGACGTTGCATCCGCTAACCAATGACAGGCACACAGCTGCCATCCCGAGCTGCTGTTCCCGGCTTAAGATAAGGAAAGAGCGGTTTCCTATTGATTAACCGCGTGTTAAGAAGATACTACTAGTCAACATACGCAGTATACCGCTGCCGTGTGCCCAATACACGACATGGCCAAGATCGACCTTCTGATTTTTACAACTTCTATACGTTACAGGGCTTCTCTCGGATAGGATTGCTCGAGATGCATTCAAATCCTCTGTCACGAAACCCTTTCAGGGGGTTATTTCACCTATACCTACTGCTAGTCGACGACAGGGTTACCAGGATCGGAGTTTGCGGAGTTGGCACAAGTCAGCTGGTCAAGAGTATTATTCTGGCTGCAGACTAGAAAGGAATGGCGACGAGCGAATGCAAGGAACCTCAATCCGCGTATGTTACAGGTTGCCTTTTCAACTCAAAATCAAGATCGAGGATTAGAGGACCGTTTATGCTTCGCGGGAATCTGAAAATCGATCTAAACATCTGACCTGAGACGGCTATATCGAATGGTTCCGAGCCGTGCCGGCTCTGAATGCTTGACAAGTATAATGCTTGCTACCGGCAGGGCCCCCTAACCAATTGAAGATTCTACCGTTAAAATCCTGGACATTAGTAACCTTGCTGCCGATCCTACACTACATAGATATGCCGTTCTGCCAAGGACAATTGGTAACCGATATTAAGAATATCAAGAACCATGGCCTTGGTGACTGACCCGATACGCCGGACGGTGTTCTATGGGATATGAGCTGACTAAGTTATCCCCAGCGCCCGAGTCTCGCGATTCCGATACGGCGGGCATCCGTTCCACTACTTTATCATTTTCGGATGCAAGTCATAGAACAACTAGGATGCACATCATTCTCATACGTAACTGCAGCCTGTCGCGCATCAATTTGTCTTACCCCTCAGCTCCCTTCGATCTGCCTTATGCAGGAACATGTACGTCCGATACCAACGTCATTTGTGTCAAATTATCGGCAGCCTTACCGGTCTACCGAGAGACTTAGCTCGACCGGGCTAAATTTCTATACACCAAAACGCCTCCATGTTGTGCCTCTGTACCGGATCTCTGAACGAACTCGTTTTCGCGTTTTAGATACCCTATGGAGGTATTCTAAATATCCGTAGCTACCTACCTAATTTCAAATTCTGCGGGAGGGTTATACGCATAAGTAGATCTTGAAGGGGACCCCGAGTCAACAAGTCGTATTGGAGAATAAGCCCTGCTAATACATATTATCTAATAATATCTCTCCCAGTTTATAGGTTACCAAATGGTTTCAGTTGCAGCTTTTTTACCGAGTTCGTAACCATGAATTATTGGCACTGCTGCGGTCATTTCGCCGCCATTTCCCCTATTTGGAACTATATGCCCATCTCTAGCATGTCAGCTTTACGGACTACCCATTTTCAAATGGTGTTGCATGTCAAGGCCTATACCCCTCCACAAGCTTGCATGCATTATAATCGCCCGTATCAGTGAGTAGCATCGTTGCCATTCCCGATATAGTGATGGCTAGTGTTATTTACTACTACGCTCTTTTCCTTTTTAAATTTCTCCAAGTTCGAGGGGCCGATCTACCACCTTATCGGACCCGGACCTCGGTCCCGATATATTTATAAAAATACCAGAGCCTACCGAGGAAGCACTAGGAACTCGCCTGAGGATTATCAGCGTCGTATGCCTATTGTTCCTCCCGCTATTTTTGCTGAGATCATGTCTCTCCAAGTTATAGATAGGCGATCCTGTACGCAAGGGTCAATCTATCAGGCGCCTCAGATTTTCGGACTATCTTGTCTCATCCACGAAGACTACGACTTTCCCTAGTTCATCCAACACCCCGGCCGTGCTGAGGCCTCCTTCGCCCTTGCCGCTTAGGTTCTATTAGAACAGCAAATCATAACATAACGTTCCAAGATCTGACGATGCTAATTTGGTAAGACACTCCCGTGTATGGCACAGACGGGAGGATTATTCGAGACAGTTCGAGCTATAATCTAGTATGGGCTCCATCAGGATTTCTGTTGAGGTAGGGCTAAGCAGGGTCTTTGTGTTATAAGGCGCATCTGGACTTTGAGTTCACCTCATGACAACGGGCCTCGTATGATGATAATGGGTCTAATTCACGTAAATCCCGCCGGTAGCTTATGACTACCTAGGTACCTATGGACCCGAGTAGAGCATGTGCGTCACTCACTACCTAATCTGGATACCTGTAATAATTGAAGTGGCACTTGAAGAACGCTGTCGTAAGCTTTATGGCATAAACTCGCCTTAACCCGTTAAAGACTGGAACTACACCTCAGTCATCCTGATGAAATACTATATTCCTATCTCATACACCAAGGATAATCGCGCCTCACCCCTGTTCAGGGCACCGAATCGTGCTTGGTGTGGCGAGACTGACTATAGATGCAACACTAAAGATCTTGAGGACTGTAATGTCATGAATGCTATAATTACTCGATTATGAGGCGTGCTTCGCAAGGTCTACTTTGATAAGATTGCTGAGTAAAAAACCGCGGAAAGGCTTCCGAAAGGAGCCGTAAGAATCCTTCTGATGTTAATTGCTCCTACTAATATGACAATCTCGGATTAGAGATGATTATATAACTAGGTAGACATGATCTCGTTTGCGTAAAGTCCTATTGTGTGACATGGTACGCCGCGGATAGTCAGAAACTGCCAGTTTCTACGAACCAACGGCAAGTAAGGGAGCGTTCTGTTGGTTGAAGTCATATCATGGATGACCATTGTACTCCATCGTGACATAAAGAGCATATTACGAAGACTGTAAGACGGCGTTGGCACGCTGGATTACGACGTTGTTGCAAATATGTCGATATTACTCTGACTCCACATATAGAATATCACTTCTGGACGGGATAGGATGGGTATGGTATGATTCACCGTCCGGAAATAATAGGTATTATGCCGTTTTTCCACTTTGTAGACAACACTTGGCCTAAATAAGATGTAGTTCTTGCATTAAGTAGTATGTATGATGACTTACTTGATAGAGTTTTTATGACCCCGGGAGTGACTAGTGATAATATAGGACTCTGAGTAGGGCTTTTGAACGCCCAAGTAGTGAGATGACTTGGATGTTGGTTACCTAGGACGAAACTCTGTTATTTTAAGAGTTCCCTGAATTAATCATAACTGAGCCTTGTAAATTAAATACCCAAGTAAATTCTATGTATATTTGCATGTTGAATCGGGGAACACGGATGGTTGATTTAATACCAAGGAGATGATGATCTTGGGTTTATGTCCCGAATAGCCAGTGTAGACACGATAAGCTTAACATAAATCTTTACAAAGAGAACACGTCAAGACACAAGCCCCAAAGGACTCACTGACACTTATTTGTCATTCGCCTCGCCGTGCGAGTTGGGAGATTAAGACAAATTACATGGGTACCTAGAGTATCACAGCCGCACTCCCAATGCATCATTTTCTGGGAAGGAGGAAAGTATACGTAGCCTTTTATAAAAGCCTTTAATGCAAGCGGCAACCGGCCCGCTAAACTGTCCAAGGTTCTAAATCTGGGTACTGCAGCTGGTTGCTGTTGCTAAGCAACATCACGTACCCCGCTGTCGCCTTAAATAGCCCCTCAAGCAGCCAATCTCCCATCCCTAATCGGCGCTTGGACACCAATCTGGCCGGTGGTGTAGTGGCAATGGCAGTAGGGTGATGAAATAATTCCTTAGGGAGTTTTTCGTAAAGCTTGGGTTCGATTCTTCATGAGGGGCGGCAAGTAAGGCCAACTTGTTCTGGACAATCGATTGGAGATCGAATTTCAAGACTTAGCTTTTTTGTCTTGTTTCTTTTTGTTTTCTTATTTTTAGTCGTATGGATTTTTCTTTATGGTATTCTTTTTTTATACATTTTATTATCGCAATTTTCATGCTTTAAACTACAATGTTTTAGGCCTTCCTAACTTTACTTAGAATCCTTCTTCTTATTAATGCCTGGAGGTAAGCCATGCTACGCAAACATTACGGCATTTACTGAAATAATCGAGGAGGCTAGATACGTGGCTGAAAGTGACAAGAAGTCGCGTGCCTATCTGCACATAAACACGCTTTGGTCAAGCTCAGGGGTTGATATTAACGCCACAGATGTAGATCACTGTCAAGTCATCTTCAGCTACAGAATCACAGGTGCGGCTGACCGGAAATGCAACACAAAGTAAATGATTATTTCCCACTATGTAGGTAGGTAGTTACTGTACAAAAAGAAACGGTACCCGGGTGTAACAGCCTCCTATTGGATATCCAAATAAAGCACATTTTCTCACCCCCTTTGCAGTAAACACACTTATTGCCACCCATCCCGTCGGCATGCCAATCGCTAACTAAAAAAAAACCACCTGGAGCATCAAAGCTTACATAATATTAATATTAACAGCGATCCTGGACAAATATCCTCACTTTATCCTCTATCTGGCCAAGTATATATCTATGACCCAGATTTGCTCTCATAGGCCCGGGAACTAGAGATCAGTAATGGGCAGAGAAAAGACTGGATCGAATCTCATCTCCAGCACGAATTAATAAACTGTGCACAGTTCCCCCCCTTACCGCGCCATAAACGTCCTAGTTCCAATATCCCATCGCCGACTTCAACAACGGCGCGGGCTTCGTCCTCCTCAGCCTGAGGTAGCACATGACGCCGCAGCTCCGACAGACGAGCGTTTTTTCGCCGTGGACATACGAGCAGTCGCAGATCCAGAACCGGTTGTCGATGCGCGTGACCAGCTCGTCTCCCGGCTTGTGCAAGCCGGACTTGATGCCGCAGCCGATGCAGAACCGCCGCAGATTCACCGTCACCGGCCCCTCGACTGCCGAGGTGCGCAGTTCCGCTTGCAGCGGCTGGTCGACGGCGAAGACGCTCGCAGGCAGGATTTTGTAGCACATGAAGCAGCCGAGGTTGGACGGCCTGCTGTTGTAGTGCCGGTAGAAGTCGCGCTCGGCGCGCAGCACAAACGAGAGCTTCGTGTCGTGGGGTGCCAGGAGCGGGTCGACCATTTTGTTAAGGGCCTTCGATGCCCAGGAGAGGTAGATCAGGTTTTCGTACGGGATGTACTGGCTGATTTGGTTGATGATATCCTGGGGGAGGATCTCGAGGTGGCAGAGACCCTTGGACAGTGGGAGTGGAACGGTAATGGTGTTGAGGTATTGACGTAGGGTTCTTTTCGAGAATCGATTCGCTGATACCGGGAGCGTGGTGGATAGTCTTGGTTTACGACCTCGACCTTGCCGTTGTAGGTTCCGTTCGGACTTTGGTTGGAATGCCGGCAGCGGACGGCGTTTCTCATGCTGGATTCCAAGACTTGTGGTCATTCCAGAGGGTTGGACGTACTCTAAGCGGTCTTGGATGGCCATGTTGAGGATGAATGACTTGTAAGTGAAAGTAGTATTCTGCTTAAACAGCTAAGGAGTTCTCGTAAGACGAATATCCTTACGTGGGGAATAAGATATGGAACTGGTGAGGTGAAGAGCGGGTTCATCTAAGACGTTTCATGAGACTTACGCTCAAACTTATATCATTCAGCCCTAGCTAGCAGGACTATGGGGTTTCTAGAAGCTGTTAGCCGCGTGTAACTAGTGAAACGTCCTGTTCTGGGGAATAATCAGAATGTTCTGAAAGGCCGCCTAGAAACAATGGGACAGGATATGTACCTACTCACATTCAGCTTGGCTAAGACACTACAACACTTTGAGATGCAGCTGCATTTCAAAATCTGCAACACTGCATCATCGTATTGAGATATACGAATATAAACAGCGGTGATTCTCTGTTGTGTCATTTCTCGTTTGTTTCAACTAGGATGTTGAAGCTGTAGGCAACCCTGGCCAAGCAATCCTACGTATGTATAATGAATTTCCCATCTCCATGCTCACAACGCCATCGAACCACGCTGCATATGATCGTATAGAGCATGTTATACTGTGAAGTAGATGTGAGAAATGAGCGGACGTTGCGCTAGTGACTCTCCGGAGGGGGCCGGGAAGTCCCGCGGTTGGAGTTTGCTAACTGCACGACACCATATACAGCAGCATGCCAATATCTGTACAGTTAGGGCTATGGGTTATACATCCCATTGGGTGGGCGGGAATCTCCCTGAGTGGCGGTAACGCCCTTCGGTAAGGCTTGTGGGGGTTTTTGTGTCATTTTCATCTGTTTATTTATAACGGACATGAGAATGACAAGGGTGAGAGTAAATGATAGGTGATAACTTGTCTTTTTCTCGATTCTTCAAAGCTTTAAGGTAACCGTCAATCGTTCCCCAAATAGAAATCAGTAAGAGTTTTAATCTAAGATCTAAATCGATCTGAGACTGTGGCTTGATTAGATCAACGCACCCCAACGCCGCAGAATAGGAAAGGTTTATGAGCCTACACAGTTAGCAATGTAGGATAACGAGAAGAGCCCTTTGGAATATCTCAAATGGCTTCAAAGGGGGTAAAGACAAAGACGATATACTTAAGGCTATTTATTAGATACGATATAAACTGGTGAGATTCGACTGTCGTGGAACAGGGTAGGTACTACAGTATGATATGTCATGGCGGTTGATGATTGCCCGGGAACTTCAGTATCCGAAGGGTCACTTGACGATGGGCGCACGCGTGCTTATTTGCATGGCAGCCTATGGGCCATGCTTTGCCTAGAAATCTCGCCCGACCTTTTGGAACTTACCATCCTAGATTCGTAAAGTCCATGCAAGTCAACATTACTTTTTAGTCGTCATCCTGAAGCTTGGACCTAGTATAGGTTGGGTCTCATCGTTCTAGGATGAGATGAAAGCTATCCGGTAGGTATTTGGAGCAGCATATGTTCACCGTAACTTCACCTTTCTAGAAATAGGCAAGATGAAGCGTGACGGGCCAATCGAGTTCCATACCGATTCGTAGTCAAATGCTGAACGTCCCGATGCTGACGGACTGTAGCGGTACCGTGGTCCGCATGTTGAGGCCGTGCAAATCGGAATCGATCTCAAACATCTCCGCGGAAATATCTACAAGCATGTTGGGATCTCAAGCGGTCAAGATCGGATTAGATCTATCTATCGAGATCGATGTAGTAGTCTTGAGTTATGGTAATCTACGAACTCCAAAGACAGACGGGTGATCTTCCTATTGACACCATCTATATGAACTTCGTCCGCTTGACCCGGTCATAGGAAGTTAAGAAAGGATCAAGTTAAGTCTGAATAGATGCAAGCTAGTACAGTACGAAACTAATGATAACTTCTCAGCCCGACTGCTTACCTACCTCTCAACATGTCCGGATACAACACAGTATGATAGACAGCCACAATTAAACGAAGGATGAAGGGATGGACGTATCCACGATGAGCAGGGATGGCACAGGAGAGAGTGGGCCTGGATGCGGACATCTCGTGGGCCAAGATACGCAATAACTCGTTTAGTTTTCAGTTAGCAGAATAAGGATAAGCCCTGGTTGTAACAGAGAATAATACCTCTAAGCTATCAAAGTTTCCCATAAAAAAGAAAAAGCAATCGGCAGAAACGTGTGGGGTTGTTGAAGCTCAGTGTTAGGGATAACTATAGGGCTACAGGGCCATCAACTAGCCCCGCAAGGCTAACATTGCTGGCCCTATTTATATGCTCAAGATATTATCACTAAGACATAGTTGGTGATATGATATTGCAAGTGTGCTGTAGTGATTCCACCAGTAGCTGGTAAGATCTAAGTTTGCTCCGCTATAGTTTATGTACCACGGCTATAAATATCCCGTAGAAACCGTAATAATATATGAAGATAGTAGAAAATGAAGCAAGATGGCATGAGAATGATCAAGATGTCTTGACTTTATAATTAGTAAATTTAACGTCTGAAAACACGTTATTCCCTACCTACCTTATAAGACAACATTTTGTCATGGAGGTAGAGTGAGAGCGGTTGTAGTCGTAGTGGTACTGAGGTGTTTAGCTGAGATTCACCAGTTACTTGTTGTAAAAAACAAGCTGTCGACCGGGTTAAAGTAGCTACTATTATCTCATTTCATTAACTTTCGACACATATATGTGCGTTTTGTATTAGTTAAGCTCGACTGTTAATTTAAGCCTTAGCGAATAACTACCTCAGCAGTAAAGAGGCTTGGTCGATGATAGTCGAGACATTCTTTTCAAGTACCTAATATAAATCCAATACAATAGCAATGGTGCGCGTTGGATAACCCGTACCTGTTATATGTCCTCGGGTGCCAGCGTGCTACACAGTATACTGTACTTATCCTCAAGAAATGTCGTTGGCTGAATAACCTGGTGGCCTTCCCATAATAACCTCACTTTAATATAATAGGTATGATTGGATATACCACTGTATTAAATCAACCGTTTAGTACGTTGGTACTTGAGGACATGATAGACAAGCCACCATATATAGACCCCTATCTATTTATTTTCTCCCGAACGTCAGACACATGAAGACACTCGCTAGGATACATGTATCCAGACGGGCATATCCGATTTCCGAAAGGAGGATATAATATGCAGGTACTTAACCTAGGTTAGTAGTGTAGTATATATTAGCCATTGCCATGCATAAAATATCTCTCTGCTCATATATTCATCGCAATAGTCTTGCGTAGATCAATGTTGTACCCAATTCTAAATCTTCTTAACTACCAGGTACCTATGTAATTTCTAAGTTAGTTTTGAGATTAAGAACATACAGGCTCATAATGTCGAACATAATAGCGACCACAGTGCTATTGCTACAAAGGATAGGCTAAGGGTTTCGCTGAAATTTATATTAATAATTTGTTCATGACGGATGAAGTTATATTCACGATCGGATCCCTACCAACCATTGATTCGCCAGGAGTAAAGATCTAACCTAGGGTATGACGAGTCTTAGACAAGCACGTCAATTCGGAGTTCGGAATCCTTCCTGTTTAGGCCAGTTCCCCTTCGGAGTTGGAACACGCTAACAAGGGAGTAAACAAGTTTCAGTTGCTGAGCATTCCTCTAGATCGTCATCTTAAATAATCTTACATCTCTGATCAAGAAGACGCGGTTTTGGTCAATCGAAGGTGTCATGATACTGAAGACCTTCCGACTTGAATAATAACATGATGGGTGGCGACGAGCCCCATCGCAGGGACTCGGATGAGATCACTATCACAGAGACGGCCCCTTTGTTGACAAACGAGCGACCAAGCTGGCCGTCGCATCGCCAGAGATTATCGATTACATCGATTACAAGTGTCCATGTGCCCAAGATCCATAACGGGCGCACGATTGTTAACCTGCTCTGCATCATCATCCTAATATCCTCCTCCTCGACTGGGCTCATCGGAATACCAGAGACCCGTCTGTTAGAGGACGCAGCATGTCGGCAGTACTACGGTCTCGATGGGAGCATATCTGGCCCCATCGACGAGAAAGACTGCAAGGGAGACGCAATCCAGAATAAGGTAGCTTTCACCTTGGCCATCCAGAGCAGCGCCGATGCTGCCGCCGGATTCCTCGCCGCGTTCCCCTGGGGTCTCGCAGCAGACAGGTGTGTAGAACGGTCTGATGCTCGTCTTGGCAACTAGACTAACTTCGGCAAGAATCGGACGAAAGCCCGTAGTCGCCCTCGCTCTAGCCGGATCGCTTCTCGGGATTGTTTGGGCCATGACGGTGGTGTATTTCCACAACGTATTTCCGGTCGAGCTCATCTGGCTCGGATCCCTGGGTAATTTCCTCGGTGGAGGCAGTGCGGTTATTGCTGGGATCGTGTTGAGCATGATTGCCGACTCGACGACAGAAGAAGAACGGTAAGTCTTACTCGAGCATCTAGTGATGCACGTAACTCACCATTTATAGAGCTATTGCGTTCATGCGTGTCCACGTCGCCAGCCTATGCGGGAATCTTGGAGCTCCAGCACTTTCTTCCGTCTTAATGGCCAGGGCGGGACCATGGCCGCCCATATGGATTGCCTTTGCCGTCATCGCACTGAGCGGAATAGCTTTTCTCTTCGTCCCAGAGACGTTGAAGCATCAGCCGGGCCAAGAACATGGCCACGAACCAGAAATAGTAGAAGACGAAGAAGAAGAAACCACAGACCTCACGTCACGGGTATCGCATGTCGTCACCCAGTTCAAGGAGTCGCTCTCAATGTTCAAGTCCACATCCCTCGTCCTTCTTCTTATAACATGCCTCGGATCTCCGCCTGTTCTATACGCGACTCTCCAGTTTATGGCGCAGTTTCTGTCAAAGAGGTATGGCATCGAGCTTTACAAGACGGGTTACATCCAGTCTACGTATGGAGCCGCCCAGGTTGTTCAAGCCCTCATAATTCTACCATGGGTTACCCGGTATGTCATGAAAAGCACGACACCTAAAAGAATCCGAGCGCCCGACGAGCATCATCGCGACCTGTCCCTGGCGCGCTGGTCATATACGCTCCTAGCTGTGGGAATATTCATCGTCGGCCTGGCACCGACACTCCCAGGCTTTGTTTTCGGGCTCATGCTCATGGCGCTTGGCTCCGGCTTCAATAGCCTAACTCGAAGCCTGATGAGTCTGTACGTCGATCCAGAGCATCGCTCCCGACTTTTCAGTCTTGTCGCCATGGCCGAAGTTGTCGGAAGCGTGTATGCCCAGCCGTTTCTTGCTGCGCTCTTCGCTCTTGGGATGAAATTAGGCGGCGGATGGATTGGGCTGCCGTATTTTGGGTTATCAATTCTTATTTCTGCTGTTGCTACACTACTGCTTTTCGTTAAGGTACCGAAGGAGGCTAGAAATTCAGCGCCAACGCACGAAAACGGATGTGATGAAGAGTAGATATGTTGGGGATAAAAGGGATAGATTAGAGCATGTGAAGGCAACTACAGTGATGATTACATCGTACAGGATATAGATCAATTTGGTTACGGGCATTTTATAGATAAATATACTGCACAGTAATTTGGCAATAAATTTAATCTCATGTTTTGTAACCTGCGAATAGTTGGTTGTGATTAGAGTTGATAATCACAGTTACTTCGGTCAAAATCTATTTTACATGGCTTCTCCTAAAGAAAGTTCTAGTCATACTAACATATAGCCTACCGATTCCATGCTTCCAATGAAAATCTCATGGCCTGCCTTTTCCACGCTTGGGTATATGCCGTCCTCTAAACACGTCTTGATACATAATCAATCTTCAATATGTAGCGGCTCGATGAAGGTCAACTCTCCATCCGATTCATTATCAACCATCCTGATCCCGCCACCCTCCTCGTCGTCTGAATCATAATCGTAGTTGTAGTCGTCGTGGTTGCGGCCAGTATTCGGTATAATACCCGGGTACGCAGGCGGGGGACTCTCAACCAGAGTCGCACTTGTTGACCTAGACAGGGTAGCGACAGAGGAGGTTCCAGGGATATCTCTAGGTGTCTCAGTGAAGCTTGATACGGATGATACAGTCGCCGTCGTTGCTACCGCCGTTGTTTGCCATAGTACGACAACAGGCTCTTTCATATCCTTCTTCCCCTCTATCTTCTCATCTCTCACGCTAACATGGCTCTTCAGCTCCAGCACATTCTTCACCATCGGGCCAAACTTTTCATTCGGCATCGTCTCGAATTCATCTTTCACCCGCTCCGGCTTGTCCTCAATATCGATCAGATTTCCTGTCTCAGCCCAATCCTTATCGCGAAGCTCAATCTCGATCTTCCCGTCGTCCTTCTCGATAACGCCCGCGCCACCACGGACGTCGGGAAATCCACACCGTGTTAGGATCTTAGCTGTGAGCTCCGGGTATCGCAGGTGACCCGTTACCTCGTTGCTCAGATCCAGGTTCTCGACCCCTTCGATCTCGTCACCGATGGATTGCAGCCCGGCGATGCCAAGTTGCATGCTTGTCGCGCGGTATAGGAAACCTAGGATATAGTCGTTCTCGCTGTACACATTGAACAGCTTGCCCGAGACCACTGTCCGCATCATTTGCCAGTGTCCTGTGTTGGACGGGACCGGTGCTCCAATCAGGACCACGTTGTCTATGAGTCCAAAGGCTTTTCGATCTGCAAGTACTCGCAAGCAAGCGTAGATCACCCGTGCTCCCAACGAGTATCCCACTAGGGTTACTGGTCGTTCTCCCTGTACCTTATTGATCAATGCGTCCGCTAAAATCTTACCGGCTTTCTCTGATCGGTTTCGCGCAAGACTGAACGGGTTATCAATATTGGAAGCTGAGCTCAGGAGAAAGATAGGCCATAGCGCGCCTTTTAGCGTCGCAAGCACTGTCCTCTGGAGGATCTCAGCCCTTACAGCACTCCATGCAGTAGAGCCAACGAGGCTTCTGAGTTTATCGCCGAGCGCCATCAAACTTTTCATCTCATATCGTAGGGCAAATACTTCAGTCTCGTTACCAAGGGCTCGCCACGGCTTTGTCACGTCCTTCTCGGACGTAAGCCAGCCGTTAATACCAATGGTAACGCGGAGCCTGCGAGCTTTCGAGCTGTCTTCTTTGTTCGACCATCCTTCACCCCACTCCTCCCGTAGCGGCAGGAACTTGAAATCTTCGACCTCCTTGGCGTACTGGTCAACCATACCGCCCGTCATCTTTGCCCCGAACGCCCCGAAGATCGTGCCCACTAGTGCACCGTTCATCCAGAATATGCCAAGGAAACTCGCCAGTCCTCCTAGCCCAACGGACCCCATGAGGCCACCGATCACACCGGCCACAGCGGGCGCAGCAAGACCCCCTGTCACACCAATAATAGCGGCGCCTGCGACGGACGCCAACCCAACTTTCCAAAATCGGCCTACTTGGCCCTGCTCCCTGCGCTTCTGCGCCTCTGCCTCAGCCGACATGCCACCCTGCTGCTCAGCCTTCTTCGCGGCCTCGACCATAGTCGTCGCGATCTCCGTCTCCTCGGCGTCGAGAAACGCGGGTGGGATCTCAAGCGCAGAAGTCAGGTAGCATATTAGTGTGCGCGAGTACGCCGAGTAATTGCCGATAGATAACAGTAGGATTAGCATGGCGCTTAGAACCTCCTTACGGTCCTCCATGGGGATCGTGGTGAGCCGGGTGGGGATGGGGTGGTACAAGGCCTGGAAGGCAGGTAGACTGGTTGGTCCGGTAGACCGGGGCGGCAGTGCCGGTGCCATCGACGTTTGAGTGGACCTGCTATTGTCGCCGAAGCTCAGCAAGTCCTCGCCGTCGGATGGCTCCTCTCTGTTCTTAGCGTCTATCTGCTCAGCACGCTTCCGACGGGCATCAACGACTTTCTGATCGTCAGGCTTAGCCACAAGCTCTTTTAGTTTAGCGAGAGTCTCATCGCGCCATGAGTCGAAGTGCAACAGTGCCGCCTTCCGCAGCCTAAGAAGTGCTAGACTAGGGGGCGTTCTTTGCGGCCGTGGTGGTTGTGGTGGTGGCGTAGGATTGGAGTCCCGACTGTTAGTGCGGGGTGAGAATAGAGGCGCATCTGTTGTCTCTGAATATGGAGGTGGAGCTCGGCCTGAGGAGGACGAGAGAGATGGTGATCCATTGGGACTGTATGGGAGTTCTAGTTGTGATCGCATGTACGCCGCAATCTCAACAACGAGGCTATAAAATACCTTGCGTCGGGCGAGATTAAGTGCAACCCGAATAGCATCGGGCTCGTTGGTAAGAGGCGCCATGGTGACGGCAATTACTTAGAATGGCCTACTAAATAGGCACCTCCTAGTTAGCCTAATTGAATATTCTCATCATTTGTTGTAAAAGCTATGTCCCCTTTTAGTTGTTTTTTCTAGTTATAAAGTTTCGATACTAGAGGGGGAGTTCTTATCTTTTAAAAAGCCCCTGACTAGTATTAGTCACGCTATGTACAACCAACCACTTTATGTACCTAAGGTAGGTAAGTTACACGGTATGCAGCTCAGCTCCAGGCAGCCAAATTAATTCAAAATTGCACTTTCGTAGCGCGGTACTAACTACAATTAAGAATCAATTAAGGATATATTTCACGAGCACGGCCTAAATAGTAACCTAGGTAGTTTAGGTAAATTTGATAGTTATTATAAATGTTATCATAAAGTTTTCAAACTTATTTGTGAATAGTTTGGGTACCTGTTAAGTGAATCTGAGCCACACCAAGTTCCATATATCAATCACTAAATGGTATAATATATGGTAATGAGCGACTAGAATGTAATTGAGTAAGTCTCATCCTGGGACGCCCTTTAGAGACCGTCGCGGCTTATTCTTCTCTAATGTATTTGAATACATCTCAAATCTGTAAAGAGGTGATCTCGGAACCAGCCACCGATTCCGTCTCTGGGGTCGACGGAGGCAGGTTTTCGCGCTTGGTGCAGATCCAGCAGCTTGCGTACATGTTCACGCGGTCGATGCACTTGCCTCCCGTACGTTCGCCCATGCATTTAGCTGAGAACCCGTGCCGTTCGAACTCGGCTAGATACCAAGGCCGGAGACCCCCGGAGCGTAGCATAACACGTCCGCCTATGCGTAGCGCCCGGTTGAGCTTAGAAATTTGTGCCGCAGCAGCGTTTGATCCTGGATCGAACCAGTCCATGCTATCCATAACAACAGCTACTGTCAGGGTACCAGACGCAATGCGTGCGAGCACTTCGTCGATCTCATCCGTGTGGATGCGTAGCCCATCGAACGCCCCCGAGCGAGAGAGTCGGGCGTGCGCTTGAGGTGAGAGGTAGTCTGGATGGCAGGTTCGACTGAATTTACCGTCGAGACACACTAGGTAGTACGGATTGTCAGCCGCGATGTGCGTCGACTCTACCATCGGGTCCAGCGTATTGACCATGTACTCCCAGATGGCGTGGGAGCGCGTGTTCTTAGCTCGTGCGCCAGGACCGCAAACTGCTTCCGATACAGCATGGTCTTCTTCAATAATTGCGAGCTGATTCTTGGGCACTCCTAGTGCCGTCCACAGGAATGATTCTTGGCTTACGATGAACTTGGAGACTAGGCGGGAAAGGAGTGCCGGGCGAATCTTGTTGCGCCAGATTTCACGCTGTTCGTTTAAGGTCTTGGCAGCGAGTAGCTCTTTAACAGCGGATCGGCATCCAAATACGCGAGAAATCCAGCGGAAGATGCGAATTCCATGTTTCGATCCACCCGTGTCGTACAGACCACCCTGAGTCTTAGTGAAGATGTGGTGATTGTTAAGCCAGTATTGGAACGCACGACTAGATAGGTGAGGGGACATTTTTGAGATAAGCAAGGACCGGAACTCGGGATGCTTGCCCTCGCCGAAAATCTTCCAAAAGTCTCCATAGGGGAGAGAAGAGAATGCGGCTACTTTGAGCTCGAGAAGGTGGTTCTGCGTCGGATTTAAATCGACCGCATGTATTCTAGCCGGTCCCTGTAGAGCATAAGAAAGAAGGTTATCGCCGGCGCTGGTGATAGCCAACACCACATCATCCGACTTCAGTTTGAGGATTCGTTCATCGACACGAGTATCTTCCCAAGTAAAGGCATAGATATACTCGTCGTTGAATTGAGTATGTTTCTTGAGTTGATCGTCATAATAAATCCTATAGTGATGGTTCTGATAGAAAAAGGACGGGAGAGGCAAGTTAGAAGAAAGATTGACAATAGCGGCGTCGAAAGCCTTAGATCGGATCTCTAGCGTAGCTCTTTCGACTGCGCGAGACAGAGCGGCTGAGTGATTATCTGGGTAAATATATGGTGACTCGGTAACCAGAGCATCCAGCTTTTCAACAATTTCGTGTGGGAGGCTAGATGATGCTGGTTGTTTATGAGTTCCCAGCCATATATAATAGGGAATTGCACCCAGAGCGTAGTTTCGGTTGTTTACATTCAAGATTGTACCGAAGCTATACTCAAGATAGTCACGTCTTCCAGGTTCGAGAGCAACTCGGTCAATATCAAACCACGCACGCCAGAATGTCCTGCCGAAGAAATTGACATGGCGGTTAACATGGCCACCAGTATAATTTCGGAAGCTAATATCGACTTGAGATTGAACATAAAAGTCAACCACGCCAACTATACCATTCGCAGCCAGTAAAGACGGCAGCGAATCAATAACAGAATAGTAGTCAGGCTATAAATTTGTAAGTAAATGTACGACATGTCTGAAATTATTGGCCCTCACAATCATAGATAAGCTGTATGACATAGTGATCAAGTCGGCACCGCCATGTCTGGGTCTCTCCTGGAGGAAGTAGTTCCGATTCGGTGAACCGGAGGCGCGCCTACCTTGGTAAGGCTCGTGGTCTTCTAAGCGGAATTTCCTTGCATCTTGACAGATAACTTTGACGTTCTTCCACTCTAGTCTCTCGAAACGCTTGCGAGCGACTTCACAGAGAGACGGAGAGAAGTCAACCAGGTAAACGCTGTCAAAGAATTGGGCAACATCGACGAATTTGGACATAGTTTCAATGTTCCAACCAGTCCCTCCACCAACCTACTTGTATGGTTAGTGATCTTGGTGGTTTATGGATATGATTGTGAGCGAGCACGTACGTCTACCCAAACACGTCCCTTCTTCTCGCCACCCTGTGTTGCTCGATAAGAGAGCTGAGCAGCTGCGAGAGCTAACATGTCCTCGCGACCCTTTAGGAGGGCCTTCCTCGTCGCATCGTACGCACCGGCCTGCGTCTTGTAAAAGCTTTCAAGGGCATCCTGCTGGTTGCCATTGTTGTCGCCATCATGCGGTTTGAGGAAGCATGTATAGAAGAAAAGCCATAACGACTGTACGAGACCAGGATTCTCGCTGTCTTTTGCTTTCTTCGAAAGTATTGTAGAGTAGCATACGCCTACCAATAAGACAACTACTACTCCAGCAAGATAGATATTTGTATATGGGTCAGGGGGTAAAATGTTACCACCAAGAGAAGCCATGATACTCTCTCATTGCTTAAGTAATGGAGAGCGGGATGTTGAAATTCCTTCGATATGTTGAATCGACTTACAGCAATTGGTAAGAGTATCTGGTATAAGGAACAGAAAAGGAGAAGGGGGGGAGAGTAACGGTAGAGTATGGAGGAATATATATAAGAGAGCTCTTCGTACTAATTGCCTGCCTTTTACTAACAGAAAAGCTTTGGCTGCTTGCATTTTGAGTTACCCCATGACCAAAAGGAGTACTTCCGTACATGCATGGTGAGTGGGATGTCGCTAATCTGACAATTGGATATATGTACGTGTAGGTATACACATGTAGAAGGTAGCAAAGGTAGTAGGTTGAGGAGTATCAGAATTCCACTTTGCCTGCACTTCAGCACATGCATGTATAAGAGACATGTACAAGAGACATGTGCAAGATGCATGCATGTCATTGAAAAGACCCTGAACTTTGTACCCCACTGAGCAGGAAACCCCACTGATGTAATGAAGTTTTAGGCATGTTGACAATGGCCAGCTACGGTTGTCTTAGCCAATCATTTGGACCACATGTCCGGGCCTTTTGGAAACAATACCTCTTACATAGTACAGCACCGCCCAAGACCCATTGACGCTAAGCTTCTTCGAATTTCACTTGTACAAAAGGTGCGGGATAGTGCTGTTTGAGAGGATAGCTATTTGCGCTAACCGCTCAAGTTGAGTAGCGCGCGAGTTGATGTACAGTGTCTGAGTGTTGGCAGAACTTCCGGCGAATGATATACTTGATTCGACATTGGTGATGAATACGAAGGAGAATATAGGCTTGATGTATCCCGATTGAATTCCAGGTTCCCACGATCGGCATTGGATTTCCTGCAGCAGTCCCACAGGTACCAAAGGTCAAATGATACCCTGCACCTTGTTGCAAGGGAGTAACCTACCTATGTGTGAAGCCGTTTCTCGCTGATTCATCCGGATTGATGTCTAGTTCCATCGTACAGCGATCATCGAAAGGTGCGTTAGCTAGGCGACATTGAGACTTGTTTAAGTTGCCAATGGGTTAAAATTTGAACTTCGGCCTAGGATTATGCTTAGAATTATGCACCCACGTGCTAGAATATTGTAATTCGAATGGGCGATAATCTCTGAGCGCGTACCCTGTAGTCCAGAAAACATGGCTGGGCTACCTCTTGCAGAGGCCGGATATTTGATAAGACGCTTAAGAGCCATCGAAAGCGAAAGGCTCAATTATGTATATTAAAGAGTATGTTGCATAATACCCGTAGACAAATGTCAGGTGGCTCTAACCGGAATGTGTCCGGCATCAAACTCCTAACCTAGTAGGTTACATTAGGTGAGTTTTACTTTTGCTGTAAAAAGCCGTATTTGACCGTTTCGACGGCTATCTGCTAAGGTAGCACATAGCTCACTCGGCTTGTCCCTTTTGTTCGACTAATCTTCTTCACATTGGTCTTGCCGCATTGCTCTGTACTGTCAACGTGCGTGCCGCCACAGGGATAGGTTTCGGCTCCGACAATCTTCACGACTCGGAATTTCTCATCGTCTGTCATACCCATTGCTTTGCGATCGGGTATTAATCTTTCAAGTCCATTTACCTTGAAATCGTTCTCGTCCCACCAATCTATTTCAACTGGCATGTCTTTACTAATGTACTCATCCAACCGAGTTTGAATAGCATCCTTCCACTTCCCTTCAATGGAACCTTGGAATTCGCAAGCGGCAGAATCGGGGAAATGTGACGCTTTTAGTTCATCGAAGTTGGCTACCTCTTTCTCGAGTAGATGTCGAACAGCTGCACCGAGAACGTGCCCAGCTGTATGATACCGGGAGTATAGATTCCGCTTCTCGCTATCAATGGTTTGAGTGACCGAGTCCCCAGCCTTAAAAACAGCCGTAGTATTCGCGAACCTGCCAAAATGCAGTATCTCGCCGTCGTTTGTAGCACTCGTGCGCACCATAGATACATCAAAACTTGCGCCCTCGGGGCTTTTTATCACACCAACGTCAGAAGGTTGACCTCCGCCTTGAGGGTGGAATATAGTCTGCTCCGTAACTACAACGTGGTCATCTTCCTTGGCTTGTTTGAAAAGCCCCTTGTTAACCTCCTCAAGAGCAGCTATTGAGCGGACTGCAGTGACTACAGTTTGTAGGGTATGGAGCTTAGCGTTATAATGGAACGCGAGATAGGTGCGCTGCATATCGAAAATTTCGGCAGTGTAATGTTCGAATGGATTTAATATTTTCGTACTTTAAGATGGAAGATACGTTGGGCTCGGCCTAGGGGTTATTTTGAGGTTCTTAAGTCCATCGACAAACTACTCCTCACGAACCTCGTCTTAAATACCCTGATGAGATGTTTTTTTTGATACTTTTTTGGGCATGACAGACTCGCGCCCTAATGGTGGGTCCATTTAGATCAATTGGCCAGTAAATGCCGGAATCCAAGACCCACTCTCTTCCTCGACGCCCTTCTGCGGTCATCAGTCATCAGTCATTTTCATAAAAGAATAAAAATAAATAGGTGTTGTCTCAATGCCTATATCATTGATAAATAACTCGATATATGACCTTGGTCTATTTTGGACGTAGTTATTAATTTAGTGTGTTCTTGAAACCCAAGTACGCCGAGTTAATGTCCAACTCGAGCTCCCTAGCCTGGTGTTCGCTCAACTCCTCAGTCGCCTTCATCTGGTTTAATGCGATTAACCACTGCACAATTTTGCCGCGATTTTCGAAATCCCGATCAGTGACTTTGTTGACGCTCTGAATAACGTCGGTCAGGAGAGGGTGTAGTTGGTCCTTTGCTAGAAGTCCGAGGCGCAAGGCATCTAAGAAAGTGATGAAGTCCTGTGTCGCTTCTAGGATGAGAGCACCGGACTTGTTGCTTGTCGAAGCTGATGGCTGAGCGGTCCCTGTTGATGCAGTGACAGCAGTTGATGGCATACCTACTCTAAGCCGCTCTGTCGCCCTGGGAACTTCGAGCTACGAGAATGTAATTAGTACTAGCCATGAAATATAACAGATTTCCTTACATCCCACTCGGCCTTGAACTCTTCTAGGCCCACAAAAGCTTTAGCTACAGTTTCGTCTGTTAGAATAGACTTATACTGTTTCAGTGACCGTTCGCAAATCTCAGTATAGTCGGTTTCGGGAATGGCATCTTTGAGAAATGCTCTCTCTAGTTCATCTAAGGTGACGATGATAGAAAAGATCTCAGCAAGAGAATCTTGTAAGTCCCTATCAGCGCGGGTATCTGATAGCTTCACTTCCTATGGAGTTATAAGCATAGATTTATGAGCAACGTAGAATAGGGGATTAAACGCATACCTCATCTAAATTTATCGTAGCTGATAGGGCGGTATTAGGGACATAGCTATGGGGCGTTGGGGCATAAGCCTGGCGGGGATTCATCTTGTAAAGCCTGTATATTGATAAGTCCTGATGGCTCTTGAAAAGGAACCTTGGAAGTGACCAAGTTCTAGATTAGAGAAGTATGCAATAGGTCAGTTAATGATAAAGTGATAAAGTACGGAATAATTGGTTCACTTTCAGTAGCAACTTGCAGTTACATAAATGCCTTGTTGAATGGCTTAGGTAAGGTACCTAGGTACCCGTGCAGCCATGAGCCAACCAAGGTAATTGTATTAGGCTTAGCATTAGATTCCGATAAGAACCACACGATAAGCTTATCCAAAAAAGATTTCCCTTAAAATTAATCACTTACAAAGTTCATTGCGCAATTGTTCGACTACGCTGTCACAACTTCGTGATAAATCTTACAATGGCGGGCGCAAAGAAAAATTTCAAGGCAACTAAGAAGTTCGAGCAGAAACACCTAAAAGGTGTTCTAGATCAACGGAAATCAACTGCAAAAATAAAGCAGAGACACCAGATCCAGGCCAAGAAACAATTCAAAAAATCGAAAGATGCCGAGTTCTACAAGGGCGCCGAGGATGGCGAGAAAACTAATAAGCCCAATGGTTCCAAGAGAACATCCAATGTCAATGAAATGAGCGTTGATGATTTCTTCGGCGGTGGATTTGAGATAATCGACAAAGCTCAACCGGCCAAGAAGACGTCTAAGAAGCTAGGAAAACGCAAGCGAGACGAGCCTATCGAAAACGATGCTACGTCGGATGAAGATAGCGATATCGATATGTCCGCCGACGAAATGCTTGTCGCCAGCGAAAGTGAAGATTCGGGTGACGAGGACGCCGATGATATCGGCATGAGTAAAGAGACGATGGACGCCCTTGCTCAGGAAGACCCCGAGTTCTACAAATTTTTAAAAGAGAACGACCCTGAAGCGTTAGAATTCGACGATGCAGATCTAGCCGAGGTAGACGAGTTGAGCGGTAGCGAGGAAGAAGACCAACCCAAGAAGAAACGAAAGAAGGAAAAGAAACAAGGAAAGACAGACGGCGCAGACGAGGAAGATAAAGCCGACAACGAACTAACACTGGCAATGGTTTCACGGTGGAAAACAGCGTTGGCAGATAAGCAATCACTCAGAGCTGCGAGGCAAGTGGTTTTGGCATTCAGATCTGCAGCACACCTCAACGAGGATGACGAAGAGCAGGGCAGGAAACAGACGTACAAGATATCAAGCCCCGAGGTTTTCCACGATATCCTCATTGTTGCGCTCAAGCAAATCCCTGAAGTCATTCAGCACCATGTTCCTATCAAGGAGTCTTTATCTGGCAAGGTTCATGTCCCTTCGGATACCAAGAAGTTTAAAACTCTTTCAATGCTTCTAAAATCCTTCATATCTTCCATCTTACACCTGGTCGGTACGCTGTCAGATGACGCTACCCTCAAGCTGACATTATCCGCCATCACGCCCCTTGTCCCTTACCTCTTGAGTTTCCGAAAGCTACTGAAAAACTTGATCAAAGCTGTTGTTGGATTTTGGTCGCAGTCTACGAGTAGCGACCCAACTCGAATTACCGCCTTCTTAGTTTTGCGACGACTTGTCGTCGTGGGCGACAAAGGTATCAGAGAAGCTGTCTTGAAAGCAACCTACCAAGGTTTAGTCGCAGGATCTCGTGTGACAAATGTCAACACGATACAAGGAATCAACTTAATGAAATACTCTGCCGCTGAGCTCTGGGGCATAGATCAAAATATTGGCTATACAACGGCTTTCAGTTTCATCCGCCAACTTGCTATCCATCTACGCAACAGCATCGTACACAACCAGAACGACTCGTATAGAACCATCTACAATTGGCAGTATGTACACTCAGTAGACTTCTGGTCCTGTGTACTATCAGAGCATTGCAATCCGCTGAAGGAAGCGGAAACTGGAAAGGAATCCCAGCTCAAGCCCCTCATCTACCCACTTGTCCAAGTTACACTTGGTGCCATGCGTCTAATACCAACCGCAACCTATTTTCCCCTTCGATTTCATATGATTAGGTCGCTTCTTCGTATTTCACGGTCGACTGGAACTTATATCCCGCTAGCATCGGCTCTATTAGAAGTCTTAAACTCGGCAGAAATAAAAAAGTCACCGAAGCAGTCAACTATCAAGCCTCTCGATTTCCACGTGGCCTATAAGGCCCCCAAGGCATATCTGCGGACGCGAGTTTATCAAGACGGAGTCGGGGAACAGGTGGTGGAGCTATTCTCGGAGTACTTTGTTCTATGGTCTATAAGTATAGCGTTCCCCGAGTTTGCCCTACCTGTCATCATCATGCTTAAGCGATGGCTCAAGCAGTCAAGAAAGAAGACAGGTGGAAACAACAATAGCAAGGTTCGCGCTGGCCTCGTTTTACTAGTTCAAAAGCTTGAGGCAAATGTGAAATTCATCGAGGGTAAAAGGGCCAAGGTCGACTTCGCGCCTAGAGATCGATCACAGGTCGATGCGTTCCTGAAGGACTTCGACTGGGAAAAGACGCCGATTGGTGCCTACGTTGTTGCTCAGAGGAAGGCGGGAGCGGAGAAGGCTAATATGCTGGAGCAGGCTAGGAAAGAGGACGAGCGAAAACGAAAGGAAGAAGAGCAGGAGGCGCTGGAGGAGAATGCCGCCCGATTAGAGAAGGAAGATGAAGAAATGGAGGATTTCGATGACGAGGATGAGGAGTCCTCTGACGAAGACGATGAGTAGTAAAATAGAAGTTGTAGGATTGGGCAGTATTGTTAATGAATCAGAAATCGCCTGCGATTAGTAGGTCTTATCCTTTCGTATGATCTTAAGATACCCAATAATCTCTGAATATAGTGGTAACGCCTACTCCATATCGAATATCATTCTATGCTAAATCAAATATGACCTTATTTCTCACCTAGTTTTTAAGCTGTGAGGTCGTGGAAGCTACGTTTTTTCTCGATTCAATTTACTTTCTTAGACTGACAGGCAATTTTTATAGTAGAAACTCGATTCTGCTTAAGAGGCATGCTAATTCGATCTAATGCATGGAAGTTATTGTATATACAAAGGCCCAAGACCCAACGTCTTGGTGGAAAAGATGTACACAAAATGGTATCGAGAAATAAACCCTTCTATAAGAGGGATATCACGACACGACCGCTTATAGCGTGGCCAAACCAGCCTGGATAGCCTTGACGTATGTCCAGTCTGCTGTATCCTCACCCAAGCTCCATGCCACTGTACACGAACAAAAGTCAGCTTCTTTTTCTTCTTCTCTTTTCTGAAAGACGCCGAGAAATAGGGTAGATAAAACTTACTAACGCCACCTAGCCCCCTCGCCTTAACAATCTGCTCGAACTTCTGCGCGATAAACTCGGGCGTGTCCCACGTCCAGAACTTGCTCTCGGCCGCGTCCCAGTACCACTGGCCGCCCTCCTCGGTATCCGCCTTGCCGCTGGACAGGATCGGGGACCCCTCGAGGAAAGTCACGGCGCCGGATTTTCCCGTGTCGTCGCCGTTGGCGTCTTCCAGCTCGACTGTGGGGCACCCGATCGGCTGCGTGCATTCGCCTTCGGTGACGAAGTATTTCGCGTAGAAGGCGAAGCCAAGGTTGAGCTTGGAGGCGTCCATGCCGAGGGAGATGTACTTGTCGACCGTGGCTAGGGACGCTTTGACGGAGGTGTGGTGCGTGGTTTGGGTGTTGCGTCTGTGTGGAGGGGAGGGTTAGATGGGGTGTTCATGGGATGGATATCGCGTCTGGTGGCGTTTACCTGGTCATCAAGTCGTATGTCATAACCTATCGGGCGAGCTCTTGTTAGCTTCTGTCTAGAGTATGTTACCAGTGCACACGCGACTTACGTTAACTACATCGACAGCATCATTGATCTTGGGGACTTGCTCGGGGGTGAAGGCAATCATATCACTCTCGAGGCCGGGAACGGCGATGGAAAGCTCCTTGTCGCCGATCGCTGACTTGATTTCCTGCAGTAGCAAGGCGTAGTTGGCGATCTCGTCGACCTTGCCAGAGTTGGGGTTCTGCTTATAATCTGCACCATTACCACCGGGGTATTCCCAGTCAATGTCTACGGAGGGTTAGCACCTAACTAATAATATAGATCTTGCAGAATTCTAGAAATTAGAGCTACTTGCCGACGCAGTCGTAACCGTGGCTTTCGAGCATCGCGGCAACACCCTTCGCAAAAGTCTTCCTCGACGCGTCGTCCTTTTGGCCGGCGGAGAATCCAGAAGTGTCACCCCATCCTCCAATCGCCACGCACATCTTGGTTCCGTCAGGGAATTGGCTGCGGAGTGTTCCCACGTCTACGAACGGAGAGTAGGAGTCGGCCGGATCGCTTGTGAACAGTGTAGAACCGGCAAATGCGGTGATTACATGTGTTACTCCGGCCATCTGGTCTTTGCTAGGAGACGCAGTGTGCCACTGGTCGTAGAACATTGCGAACCGCGGGGCCGCCGCAGCGGTTGCGATTGTTACGGCTTGGGAGAGATGCATGTTAGAACCGAATGCTCAAGTTCAACGACTAAGTGATCTTTCAGGGGCAGGACGGATTCCAGTTGACAACGACATAAGATGGAAATCAAAGGTCGAACCACGCCTGGTGCGCACTTTCATGCATATGTATATAGGCAAATACCTGATACCTGGTAGGTATGTATGTACCTTTAGTGTGTTTAAGACCATCCGTATAGTGGAATGAGGTGTAACGTTAAGTAGTTTAGTTCCTCCGGCATCTCCTATTTTATCCTTGTAGTTGCATTCCACATTGAGTGTTTGGTTTAGGTAGCTGTCAGCCTAGAGCCTCATGCCACCCTAATTGTCTTGCATATGCTACGTCTTCCTACCCGTTTCAGTTATCGAGCTTGATTGGCATCACAAATACACTCAGACATTATGGAGAGGGGGTATTTGGTTCGCCATCTGAAGTATCTCTTGATTACCTCTATGTTGTATACCTAATAGCTAAATACTATAGTATCTTATAGTTAGCCAAGAAGGTAATTAAAGTCCGGGGTATCTATGGTCCCGAGTGCCCGAATTTACAAGGGCCCGGGTGCCCGGATATTTTGCCCGAGTTTACGAGGAATATTGTCTTGCTAGCCTCGATTTCGTCTTTCGAAAAACTTCGACTTTTCCAGAAAACCTCGATTGAACATGAGGACACCCCTGCTCGGCGATGCTCTGAACTGCCTATTGTAGAAAGTCTATGAACGTTACCCCAGGTTCTCAGGGGTAAGGCGATAATAAAGCCGACTACGTCAATGATAACGTGCTATCCACGGAGACTCCTGGAAATGTGAAACAAAAAGAGCCGAAGTCTATATATGTATAGGTATGTAGAAGCTCTCTAAGGGGAGCCGCGAAGTTGGATAGGGCGGGATGAGACCTTATCACATTACATCACGCACCTTGGCAGTGATCGTCAGTAGTACTTCATCTGAATGCCACATAACCGTACCACATCACGGAATTGCCGTGATACCTCCAATCAGCTCTCATCCGATTGAGTCTTATGATGGATAGCGTTGACAAGCCACAGAGTAATATGCTCTGTTGTCTAGTGGTTATAGTCAGACTTGGTTTCCCGATGACCTACATGTGTGATAACTTGATGCAAGCCTAACACAAACCTATAACTACTTTAAATTTAAGTTTGCTTAATTCCCCTAACATAGTGTTATTGGTAGGTTAATTACTACCTTAACCTACTACGGGATTGCAATTAGAATAAGAGGTTGATTGGATTAAGTTCAGTATGACTAAGCAACGCTCAGTTATGTTCTAACTACCTACATATGTACGGGTAAACTCGGATATCCATCCGACGCCCCACAGGGTTGTTGAAAAGTTAAGTTGGTAACTTATTAACTAGGCCTTGCTAGTAATTACGTAATCCCACCACACGGTCAATTTGAACGCGTAAGTCTATACGAATGAACTACATATTTTAGGAGTTTAATTTTATGTAATTACTTAACCTAATGGTTAGGTAAGTATTACGAACTATTAAAAACTTATATTATCAATCATCAAATTAGTTTCAAATAATTGATTTCTTAATACATGCGGTGCAATGTGAAAACGCACGTTTTATATTGAAAGATAGTCGGTTTCCATAGCATTGCCTTTTAAAGTACGAGTACCTAGGTACTTACTGTGGGAAGGAGCAATGAGGGGCATATATTAGGTACATAAAGATTTCCACCACTCAAAAATTGAATATTAGAATTCTTTCTAATGCAACATCTGTTTACCCCCAATATCCAATATCTACAGTACGCTCTGGTAAATGTGTATGCAGGGTCATGTACTTGATATTACTTAATAAACTCAGGTATCCCGAACAAGACAAAAAACCCGTCCTCGAAAGATATCAATTTACTTGGTGCTCGATTTAAATCAACGCTCACCAGGCCAAACGAAGATTGTCTACCAATTTATCAACCCCGTTATCTACAACTTGCGCGGCCGAATTGAGATATGAATATCATGTTTAGGGACAACTGCCGTGGTCCATCTTACAGACTCGCAATTGTTTGGATTTAGAAGCTCAAATTCGTAATTTTCTAAAAATTGGACGAGAAATTGTTTCATCAAGTGAGAAGCAACCCATCTACCCGGGCTATCAATAGTTAGATAAACTTGGCACACTATCAACTGGATGCCAAATTTCCTTACCACGACCTTGCAGGTGAACCCCAAAATGGATATTGTAAATTCACGTCTGTCCATTTTTGTACTGCTTCCCTAGTCGGGTCGCCTGGATGGAAACGGAAGGGGTCAAATTGATCCGGGTTAGGATAGTACTCTGCATCTTTCATAATTGCTTGTTGAGGCACAGCCACTAATGTTCCGGTTGGTAAGAATGTTCCGTCCGTGAAAGAAAAAGGCTGTATAGCCTTGCGCTGAACAGTAACTTGAAATAATATTAGCTTAGGAGGTAGTTAACCTATATTATGAGTGTTCGAGCTTGGAGGTTTGTGTATGTCAACTTACGACTATCTAAAGGGTGGAGCCTTGATGATTCACGAAGAACGCTTTCCATTAAAGGGAGATGATTAATGAAGTCATGATGGCCTTCTTGTTCTGCCGCATGTATCTCTGCCCGAAGTAGTTCAATGTACTCGGGATGCTGGCCTAATTCGATGATGGCCCACGCAAGAGACTTACAGCTTGAAGTTAGCCTGGGGAGATAATATGGTAAAGAGTCAGAAGAAAAAAAGAGGCTAGAAGCAAATACCATGGGAGGCTGATGAGCAAAGACGAATGTCATTGCAATTAGAAGTTGGCGGAGTCGAAGAGGATCTTTTTGCTCGGGCGTACGAGATGATGCGATGACGAATTGGGCCAAGTCAACCTACAGAAAAGAATTGAGTAATTGACGTTACTGTGAATCCTCATCGGCATAATGTAAAGTAAACTGTTTAGACGTACATATTGATCATCAGACCCATTCGCGTGGGCAGTCATCCGTTTTTCTACAAGTGCTTCAAGTTCTTTACTTACTTTCCGCATCGAGCCTCTATATGCCATAAACATCCACCCGATAAATCTATTCTAATTTTAGTGTTATCCTGGTATGAAAGAGTCATTCCAACCTTCTATATCTTCTGGCAAGGTTAATCATTAGGTACTTACGGAGCAATAGACTTAGGGAGTAGTTCGCAAATTGCCGAGCCGTAAGCCGAATCCCACCAATAACACAGGACGGACTTTTGGAAGACTGGATTAGTTGCTGAAATACGTCCAAACGCGTCAGCTGACTGGTTTCTCATTTTGCGACCTGGCGGGAGGCTTCATCATAAGGTAGGCTCGATGATACGTACCGAGCTCGTCCCCATACGATATCTGAATAGAGGGATTTACAAGCACAGATTTAGTAAAAGCTAGGACGGATACTTCAATGGAGCCCCTTTCTTGCAATGGTGTATATAAAAGTGCTGTAAAGCTTTCCTGCATTCTTTTTCTGATGACCTCAGATAGTTTTGGAATGTTCTCTCGAAGTAATACTTTAACGGCGCGAATAGTTACTGCTCCATCTGGATCGAACTTGTTGTCGTGCCTAAATCCAAGCATTATGGCGCTGTGTTCCAGGCGCTGGCAACCAAGCAGGAAATGTTAGCATAGTAGTCTACTGATGTATACGGGAAAGACAGGTATGAAAGCTGTCTTACATCTCTAATCGCTAGATTGAATGAAAGAACTCGCTCGGGAGCCTGAGCTACTTGTAGAATGTGCTCTGGCGATGAAACTAGGACTTGATAGTTTCTGAGTGCAAAAACAGCAAACGGAGAACGGCTGCTCTGTACCAAATTGTTAACCAATGCCGAAGATGATAGTCACGTAATCTAGCTGGATAACCTTTTTATAAGCTTCCATAATAATAGTGTTGGCACGAAATAAATAGTTCAGCATGCTGAACCATTTACCCCAAATAAAACTATTCGCTATATGTGGAATATTTTTCTAGAGCAGAGATAGGTAGACCTTAGATTAGTTGATTCTTTCTATAAACGAGGCTTGATATCTAACATGTAATACAAATGGATTCTGGGAGGACATTCTTACCGGTCGCTTCATAAACGTAACAACCGAGTTCACAAAAGTCCATGATATAAAAAGAACGGATAGGTAAAGAACAATAGTGCCTGGCCCAGCCATCATGTTGACGTGCTCATTCAACACAGCTAGAGCTAGAATCAATAGCAAGGCCGAGAATGCTAGAAGGCTCTTCATGAGAATTGTAGGCAACATCTGGGTATGTTAAAAGGTCAGCATTGCCTCTGTACGAATCCAATCCCTGATCTAACCAATAGCACACTACTCCATGATGCATAATGTTTTCTTGAGTGCACGTTACACAACATAGGCAGGTTGGTCTTACACGCGTTCTAGGCATGGACTAATATATATTAAGTATGATTCTGAAGCCAGTGGCATGAGATTCCGCCCAATCATAAATTTGTAGTGTTTCTTGGAGGGTGGCCGGCGATATAACATACTTTGGGGGCCGGTCTAACAACGAGATACCTCATAGTCAAGAGAACATAAGCAACATCGGCAAATGTTGCTTGATTCGTAATATAATACGACGAGATTTTGTAACAAGTAAATCACTCCCAGTTGGTAAGACTCGTCTCGTGTGACTGTAACGCCGTATATCTCAATGTATCCTTCCATAGGATTCCGGCCTTTTTACGATCCTTGGCCTCTGCTCCCATTTCCACTAGCTGATTACCGTCCAAGTACAAGCCCTTTGGCCTCTCACCAAGAGTCTCGTTACATTCAAAAGTAGCTGCGAGGATATCTATAGCCGACTTGCTGTTGGTCCGGACTCCGGCATTCGGCCAAAACCAAGAAAAGATGAGAGCCAAAACAAACATAATGAACTTTCCGATGAAGATATGAACGACCCAGCCGCCTCGGCGGGTAATCCCACTGGGTGTTGCGCCGGGATCAATTCCTAGGACAGATATGTTTTGGAGAATAGGATCAGTATCAAGGCGGCGCTGAAGTTCTGGTCTGTGAAACGTATGGCTTGTTCAGCTGAAGAAATGCGCATTAGATAAATGTAGAGACGTACATCATCATGACTTGGCATAGCTTGGCGGCGCCGTAGCGTCGATAGCCGCTACGAAATGATGGGTCATCTCGGCGACTGCTCCAGGTGCCCCGAGCGAGGGGATCAGTACTATCATGGAAAATTGTCTTCCACTTTTGACCTCGATACTGACCCCCGACGACATTGTGAAGGCTCTGCGTACTAGATATCCCGTTCAATCTGCTGAAGTTGAAGATGCAAGTAATCCAACAAGATTTTGATTTATCTACCTTGATATTTGGGGAAGGAGGTAAAAGGTGTCAAGGCTGTGCGTGTGCGGAGATTACTTACTCGTGGACTGAACTCCCAACTACGACCACGCGACCCATGTGATAGTCCATACTCCGCAGTAACATCAACGTTAATAGCCAGTGGCCCAAATAACTTGAGGCAAAACTGGTATCAAAGCCATCCTCAGTCCAAGTCTGGTCTTGAAGTTCAAGAAATGCGGCGTTGAGCACCAGAGCACGCAAGCGTGGCACTTGTTGTTTGCTGATCCGCGTACTGAGTTGCTCAGCAAAGCCGCGGACATCGTCTAGCCGTGCCAAGTCCAACAGCAATACTTCGTAGGAATGGATGGTACCTCTGAGAAATGAGCGTAGTGCCTGAGCTGATGAGATATCGCGAACCGTGTATATGCAGTGATATGACTCTGCATACTCAGGCTTAGAGACAAATTGTGATATAATGCTACGACCAACTGCGCCATTTGCACCAGTCAACAGAAGCGAGCCCTTGAAATATGCTGTGATAGGTTTTCCCTCGCTCTTATTAGGAGGGCGTATGGTATGTATAAAAGCCATTTAGGGGGGTGCGGGAGGTAAGACAATAGAAAGAGAGAGAGCATCTCGCTCTCGAGAGTTATAAACTAAAGCGCCAAATAGAAAGTAGACACCACGGAAATCCTGAATATTAATGAGAAATAATAATGTCCGAAACAACACCGTCGGGTCATACAACTTAGAGCGGACTAGTTGTGGTGGCAATGCAGCATTGCCAATGCTACACAGGTCGTCTTACATCTACATTGGCATTATTGCACATGTGAGGATAACCAACGCTGCCATTATTGACTAGGAAGACACCCTCCTGCACATGATTCGCACCCCTATCTACAAAAAGGATTAAGGTATGTTGGAACAGTATAGCAGATTACGTTATAGTAGCATATAAGTGTCACAATCAAGATGAAGTTGGGAGGTAGTCTAGAAACCGAAAGAACAGGTACAATAGCAATAGACGCAAGTCTTTTGAAGTGAAGGTTTATCTAAATAAATGATAGAAATCCTAATCAGAGTTGCTTAAACCATCCTTCTGCCACATTTGTGTATTGACATGGAGTATGATTTGAATGCAATATTCAAAATGGAGCAATCCCAAACTCTACTTTATATATTCTTGCCCTTCCTGCTTACATGGACCTTGTGGAGGTTCTGGAAGTTCACTGTCACTCCACTACTACATCCAGATAGGCCGAGGGAGCTACCATACTTGATACCAAGTGAGTTTTCAGCTATTGTCAACAAGAATTATTAAGCTTACATTTGAGTAGTTCTTGGTCATGGTCCAGCTTTCTTCAAAAGTTCCGATGCGTTGCTTTTCAGGGCTAGGTATGTGTTTCGATATGTCAAATATAAACAAAATTAACTTATCCTCCTGTTCAGCAAGTACTTCGGTACGAAAGAGCCATTCGCCGTAACGCTGTTCGGTAGCACGATGTATATTGTTACTCACCCGCAACATACGGTCCAGGTTTACAAGAATGACAAAACACTATCCTTCGACGAGTTTGCGCAGGACTTAGTACGAACCAACGGCTACAGCAATGCTGCTGTCCGGGCCTCGTACGCAGACCAACCAAAGGACAAGGCCGGGTTCCCTAACCCTCTGGGCGTATCCTTCGGAGCATTTGTTCGGCAAATGCACATCCACCAGCTTTACCCCGGGGAGAACCTTGAAGTCATAGAGAAACAGTTTATAGAATGGTATGAGAAAAACTTAACTATCCAGGCCCTCCAAAAAGCTTGTGAAGGATACCTAATCACTGGTGGGGATGAAGAGAACATCACGATCCCACTGATGCATTGGATCTCGAGCTATACCACCAATGCTGGTGGATTTGCCTATTTCGGAGATACCCTGAGCTTTATTAATCCGGACCTTGCAAAGACCTTCATCGAATTTGATGATGTTAGCTGGCAGGTCCTATACCGATACCCAGCATTCCTTAGCAGTAAGATGAGAAGCACGCGAATGGAGATAATGAAAGCGTTTAGGGAGTATCTGCGTTTACCTCAGACTGAACGAACTGGCAGCGTCTGGTTACTCAACGCGATGGAGGATGAAGCTAGGGCTATCGGGGTAGCTGACGAAGATATTGCAGTCTTATATTTTAACATCTACTGGCTGTACGTTAATAGATATCGCACAACGAAGCAGGCTAATAGAAATCTAGTATCAATACCAACACGCGCAAAATCAACTTCTGGCTTCTCGCCTTTCTCCTATGCCGTAACTCCTCTCTTATCGACTGTATTCGCTCAGAAACTGGCCCTGCATTTCAGGGAGACATTCTTGTCGACGTAGCTTTTCTTTATAATTCATGCCCTACCCTTGATAATGTTTGGCACGAATCTCTTCGCCTCTGTTCTAACGCGGCTTCGGTGCGCTTTATCCGTGATGATACAATTATTGGCGGGAAACATATGCACCGGGGTAACCGCATCATGATTCCGTATCGCCTATTACACTTTGACGAGAATGTATACGGAGCAGACGTGTATAGTTTCCATCCCGAACGCTTTGCTTCAGGAGAAGAGGCTAAGAAAGATGATCCGACACGCGGGCCGAGCTGGCGACCATTTGGGGGCGGAAAGTCCCTGTGCACGGGACGTTACATCGCCAAGAGGGCAACACTGATATTTGTAGCACTCGTATTGAGAAGGTTCAATATTGAAATTATCGGTGAACCTAGGCTGCCAGAGGCGGACTTGGGCAGACCAGTATTAGGGATTTCGGGTTTGAAAGAGGGACAAGACTTTTTAGTCAAACTGACACCAAGAGAATGACCGTTCTTAGGTGGGTGATAATTAGATCCGACCTGAAAGTATAAAAGCCTTTGTCACTTTGAATAAATATTGTGACAGAATAGTACTTAATAAGGAGTGTGTGATAATCCCCGAGTTTACGAGGGATAGTATGTCAGAGCAATTTCCACGAAAGAATTAATACACGTGTTTCAAAACCATATATTAAATGCATCTTAGAAGTAGATCTCTGGGATGGCGGCGTATCTTGAATCATATTAGGAAACATGTATTTATATTTCCGTTACAAAATCAATAAACGGCGGGTGCTGGAGCTGTACTGACACCAAGCAGATGATAAAGCTACCGACACGACGGGTAGCACAGCCATAGAGGCGGGCAGATGGTAAGACCATATTCTGTATTGCGCCAGGGGTAGGCTCGGGTCATTGTGTTATGTCAAGACAGGGTCTACATTTGACCTGGTCAGGGGTATTGGTACCTAACATCAATATCGATTGCTACGACGTCAAGTAGGTACATAGGTTAAGTATATAAAGGGAATCTCCTGCTCTTGTCTTCCACCCCAACCGGGGCTGTGAGAGCAGGCCTTATTGCATTGACTTGTACGTGCTATTATCGAATCCTGTTCCCTGACACTATGCCGCCAACACTCTCTAGTGGTTGGACGCAATGCTTCCCTCCTGCGCCAAAGTTTACGGAGAAAGATGTGTTCGACTTGGCTGGAAAGGTGAGAAGATACGAGGTTGCCCAGTACTCTAGCTAATCAGAGGCAGGTGTACATTATAACAGGAGGTACATCAGGAATCGGCAAAGAGTTGGCGCGTATTCTCTATTCGAAGAACGCTAAAGTCTATATCGCCGCACGAGATGAGGGCGACACGATTCGAAGCATCGAGGAAGCCGAACCTGCCTCAACTGGAACACTAGTCTTCCTGCATCTCGATCTTGCGGATCTGCGATCAGTAAGAGCATCGGCACAGCGATTTCTTGCAGCCGAAGAGAAACTCCATGTCCTCTTCAATAACGCCGGATATATGGCACCTGGGGACAACAACATAGAGAAGACGGCGCAAGGCTACGAGAAACAACTGGGAGTGAATTGCTTGGGGCCATTTCTATTCACTAAGCTGCTGATGCCGAGACTTCTGGCAACGGCAGCAGATAACAGCACCTTGGCAAACGAGGTCCGAGTCGTCTTCGTTTCTTCGTTCGCGGCCGAAATGTACCACGAGAAGCGTGTGGGTATTGATATGGAAAATTTGGACTATCACCGCTCCAAACCAGGCATACACCGTTACGGCATAAGCAAAGTAGGTGTGTGGGCTTATGGGGTCGAAATTTCAAAGCGCTTCCATACTCATGGGGTCTTGGGAGTGCCAGTCAACCCGGGGAACCTTCGTTCCGAACTTTTCTGCCATCAAGGCTTTCTGTTCAGGCTGCAGGTAGCTCTGATGCACTACCCCGCCATTAAAGGCGCGTATACGGAACTATTTGCTGGATTCTCACCTGAGGTGACAGATAAGTCTGGGTATGTGTTTCCTTTCGGACGCTTTCATCCCATCTGTGAAGGCTTGCAGCTTGCAGCCAGGCCAGAGTCCGAGGGTGGTGTTGACTTGACACGGAATTTCTGGGAGTGGAGTGAAAAGCAGGTTAAACAATTCGTTTGATGGTAAAGGGGTGTGAGTCCAGAACAAAGTACTTGGTAAACGGTCCTTGGCAATTTATTTCCAGTAACACAACATATTAGCCATCACAGTATCACAATTCCTTTATCACAAAATCTAAGCCACACCGGTAAAGAGAACAGTGTAGCATTCCGTACAGATAACCTAGGTAGATAGAAGGTCTATGGTGGGGTCATTATGATATTGATATAATAGAGTAACATGCGTACCTCCTATGCAGTTCCTCGTGTAGCAACATAGCTGAATTTCTGTTCCCTGTTTTTATAGTAGCATTACATGATAACCTACCTGCTATGTTAGATGTTAAGGTACCCAAGGTACCGATTTATTGGTTGGTGACACAATTTAGCTGACCTCAGAGAGTCTAAGGCGTAGGTTTCCTAACAATGCATAATGCATTAGGTAGTGTAACACGGCCATACTGTGTTACTGAAACCATCTGCAGGCTTTGACGTTTCTCGGGCTTGGTAATGATACCCAGCGTTATCATTGGATGCTGAATCGATGTTAGAGGCCCCCCGAAGGCTGACTTACAGCCTGGAGGTGAAAGACATTGATCAAGTTCTATATTTGAGCTGACAGAGTATGTGGTTGGTGCACTACATTCGTTTATATGTAGAGGTAGCCAACGACATCGTATCATGAAGAGGTACCTAATGTATTTTAAAAGTCTCTGCGTAAGCACGCTCCATCTCACTTCTAATAATATTACAGCTACCTATATGCGATTAATATCAGACAATTCTTTTTAATCGATGCTACCTTTCTTAGAAAGGCACACATAAGCCAACAGCCTGCATTGTCTTTCGTGTGGTGAATGTTTGGGTCTGAACATGTATCCTTATTACGTTCTCAAGTGAAGGGGACACAAAGGCGCCCCATATGTAGGCCCATAGGTAGGTAGTATTGCTATCATATACATGCACAAATCTATTTTAGTAAAAATATGTTTCTCTTTAGAGTTCGTTCGTTCGTGGCTATGATAAAACTTCATCCTTTCTCGAGGACATAATCTAGTCAAACCCTCATCTTTATCACCCCAGCTCTTTTTTATGCGAAACCGGGTTTATCATATAACTTGCGCCGTATCTCACAAAACCACCTATAATAGATCATGGATGCCCTTCCGCCCGGGATTGACCTCTGTCAAGTGCCGGCCGGGACGCCTCCTGATGGAGTACCCAATTTCCTGAACCCGCCGTCACTGGGACCAGCGTTGATTGGAGTTACGGCTACTATGATGGCGTGGACTGTTATTTTCCTCGCTGGCCGGTTATGGGTTAATAGACACCGGTTTCAGCAAGCAGATGGTATGTGGCGTGTTAATGATCTGTAAGAATTGTCTCATAGTCACGTACTGAAAGATCTACAGCCTGTGCTATCCTGGCCTTGATAATATCAGCGGCTTATTCCGGTAACATCTTAGCTAGTAAGTTGAGTTTCTTCACGACAGCCCTCAAGGGAGTGATAATAGGATAAGCTGATGGAGTGTCTTGAAGTGACAAAATATATGAGACATCAATATGACATCCCCGCTTGCTGGTTTAATGCTACCTATGTCAAGGTGAGTGAGCCTTGTTGAGTTATATATCACCTACCTTAACTAAAAGACAGTTACTCACCAAAGCGCAAATTATAGTTAACCTGCTCTATGCAAATACTCATGCCCCTGTCGCACTCTTTATCAAAAGCATCCATTCTACTCCTGCTATTCCAGATATTCTCTATCAATAAAAGGTTCAAAATCGCTATATATATCGGCCTCCTCGGCATAATTCTCGATTATGGGCCGAACTTGATTCTTGGGCCAATATATACAGTTCCTTACGCTGGCGAGACCTGGGAGGACCTTTTAACCAACGGCCGCCCACAGCATCTCAATAAGGTCGGCCTGGAGCAGGCAGTTCTAGCAGTGGTAATAGACTTATATATTTTCGTTTTACCATTTCCGATGTTGTCATCATTAAATCTAGATTTGCGGAAACGCCTCCAGTTGGTATTCGTTTTCGGTACTGCGTTAATGTAAGTGTCTCCTACACCCTTTAAGATGGATGAAGCTGATCCCCTTGGCAACTTAACAGGGGCGTTATTGCTAGCGTAATTGGACTTGCCTTACGCGTCCCTCTCTTAACGACAGAAGACCCAACCTGGCAACAGGGCAAGGTTTTTATATGCATGTAAGTAAACGTAGCATATCACCAGCTACATAGCTACAGAATATGTCATAATTGAAAGTGCGACATAACTAACTGAGGTATGACTTAAAACAGTATGGTCGAGATTTATGTCGCTATCATAGTATCTTGTTTTCCTGCTTTCGCCAATTTTGCGAAGGCCCACATTTCCGGATCAGATTTCTACAAGTCTTTGACTTCTCTCCTATGGAGCCGCAGGATTGACAAAAACGACGATTCATCTCCCCAAGGGACCTGGAGGATGAGAACAACATTTGGAGGAACTAAACCTCCAGGTACTACAAAGAAAATACAAAGAGATGGCATCCAGTACTACGAATTTCATGATACAGTGGGACTTAACTCTACGTGGACTTATACTGCTACGAATGAGGCGAGTGTTGTTGCTCTTGACGAAAGAGGAGGTCAATTATTCGATAACCCCGATTCAGGTATCACGAGGGTCTACGAAGTTGATCAGTCGTTCGGTGCTCGAGGGCTCGATTTGGCTACAGAGCAAAGGGCACAGCATGCACAATATACAGTTTAATAAGTCTGGGACGGCGAGAGCAACGAATTTGTCAGATCAGTCAGCCAATCAATCAGATCATTGAATGCTACATGAAAATCGTCCTATTCCTATCCTCCTTTAGAGCTACATGACACCATAGAGAACGCGCTTTAATAGTTATTGATGATCATTCAGCCCTATAATTTCTCGGCGGCTTAGCTCTGTATTGAAATTATAAGTAATAACCGATTCTAAAAAATCGGTTGTAACTTTACTTGTGTAGTGTACGCAAGCTTCCCAACGTTAGGGTGCGGTCGTCAAGCTTACATAGGTAGACAGCACAAGTACTAAACCCCCTGTTGAAAACTGAAAGTAGAACAGGCCTATTAATATCTCACCAACCTAGCCTGCTTAGTTCTATGGACATATCTCCACTGCTCTCGTTCTCGCTTTCGTTATTTTTATATGTAATCTCCACCAGCTGAGTTCTCAGAGGCCTTACAACACATAACTACCCCACCTCTGGAGCGGCGCAGTGGCATCGCCATGCCGGACGGAGCTCAGGTATTTATCATGAATAGATGGTTCCAAATTTTATTATTAATACTCGTAGTTTTCTCTAGATATTTAATCAAGAGCTGTCCATCAGTCAAGCTGGAGAGTATATAACTGAATATTGAATTTTGAATTATAGTCTACCATTCATTATAATCTAATTTCTACTCCATGGCACAGTCAAAGGAGAAAGAAGCACAGGGTGAGGCACTCCCCTCATATGAAGATATCTCCGGCCCTTCGACTATCAGAGAGACACCGGAAACGGGGCCGACAGCTGCCTCCCCTTTCAATTTCCCTCCAGATAGTGACCTACCACCATACTCGGCTTTAGCAGTCAACACTAGCGATCGGCGTCCTATCGCAATCCCCCAGATCCAAGCAGACCCCACCTCCCCTTTCCTCGAAGCATCCTCGCCGTCACTACTACGCCATGGAATCACGCAAGCGACCTGGTTCGGATTCATCCGCACTCTATCAGGTTTTCTAGCGGCGACCGTCTCACAGAAAGCCATCAGCCATGCCAGCGACATGGCGCAACACGTCGGCGACGTGCCCAAGCGCTTCGGCAAGGATACAATGGCGCACATTAAAGCCTCGGGCAAAGCTATCAAGGATACCGCCAAGTCGGGGAACTTCATCGGCGCCGCATTTCATGTCGTAGGCGCCACCATCGGCATCCCAGTTGCCACCGCCCTCCGGGCCGCCGGCGCCGCAGTCGTACTTCCGTTCGCGGCTATAAACGCCGTCAGCCGGGAGCCGAAGACGCCAAAGGAGCGCGCTGTCGCATACATAGCCGCCGCGAACATCAAGTGGTTGCACCGGCGCGGGCTCGACGCCCATCTGTTGGACACGGCGGAACTGGGCCAGGTTCTCGGCCTGTCCGTCGATGAATTACTGCAGGCTTCGCGCGGGGCCAAGGACGCAAGTGCGGAAGGGCAGCTAGGTGCTCTAGGGTCACATATTGCGGAACTAAACATACGGGTTCCTGGCCCGCTTGAGTTGGGAGCTGGGACTTTTTGGCTGGTGGTTACGGAGAGGGGCGAGGATCCGGAAGATGCGAGTGGGAAGGGCAAGGGAAAGGGCAAGGAGAAGAAAAAGATATAAGCGGTATCAAGAGTATACTTATTTATATTTATTATATTGGCAGCATTGGAGGATCCATTTTGCATCGATAGAAAGGGATTGCCTGATGAATACGGTGAGTATCTGATAGCAACCTGAAAAGAAAAAAGGAGTCAAGGACAAAAAGACTTTATTAAGTATGATGCCAGGCTTAAGTAGAGAAATGCCCTAGATATATCATCTACTAACAAGAATGAATTTAAGATGTACGAAATAGTCAGTTAAAAACTACATCATGGATTCTGACTTAGTACTTAGTCCATTCTATTTCATAACTAACTCAGCTTCAATACTCTAAATATATTTATCGAACCACCCCCCTTTAACGCCCCACGAAAACAAATAATTGTCCAATACATAAAATATCAAAGTGAACCGAAGAAAACAACGAGTAGTAGGTACTATTGTATTGTACAGCGATTGAGCCCTCCTAGATCGGAGTAAGCTACATCATACAGCAAACTTCACATGGGGGGAGTGGCGGGGAGGGGGAGTAGCTGCGCCTGGTCAGCTTGTCTTGTAATATGTCTCGCGGGATATCAAGACTTACCATCATATATGTTACCTTCATCTACTCCACCTGCATTTGCTTGGTCAGGGGGTTGCTTCAAATTCCCTTCAGGTTCCCGCTTTGCAGCCGGACGATGGCCCGGAGGAAATCCGGGAGGAGGAGGGGGATCCCAAATCTCAGCAGGAATCCCGCCGGGAGGAACCGGGGTTACCCTAAACCTGACGTGGCGCCCCACTCTGGTGGGTGTTTGATTTGTTATGCTCGGTTCGGCAGTGCTCTTTGACCATAGTTTTGCGTACGGATCTACCCTTTGAGGTGGGTCGCGGAGATGGTCCATGTAGAACTTCACAAGCAGCTGGACGTCTTCGAGCTCGGGCGGCGTCTGGAATTCCGTGACCGGGCGGTAGTCGTTGCGCGTGATTACTCTCTGGGCTGCCGGCGTCTTTACCCTTGGCGGCGGCGGAGGTTGGGGGAAAGCCGTAGACGGACCCGGGGTGGCGGTTGAGGGTCCCGCAACAGGCGTCTGCTCGTATATTGGAACCGGGTCGTATTGCGGAGGAGCAGGGCGAGGGGAACGGTTCCCTCCCATTATGTAATCCCATGGATTGCTGATACGCTCTTCTTCCGAAATGGATATTAGGGGTTGCTCCTTGACGGCAGTCCGAGAACCGAAGAGGGGTTGCGAACGCGAGAGATTATTGCTGAATACCGGAGCATCAGGGTCTAGCTGATCCAGCCACTGATTCATATTCGTCGGATCCACGCTCAGCGGGTCGTCGGGAGGAATATCCCGTGGACGAGTTGAGTGTCCATAGTCCCGCGAGTCATCAAAATCAGGATCGTAATAATCAGAATATTGCATGGCGTCAGATTCCCTCTGCTCCTCGATTATCAGGCGCTGCCTGTATTCCTGCTCTTCCCGGGCAATTCTTTGATCTGACAGCCACTGAGACCTGGCGTCTCCTCTTTCAAGGTTTTCTTCGATCACTCCTAGCAGCTGGGCTGGCGTTGGACGTCTTGGGCCATAAGTCTCCAAGCAACGTGCTATTAGAAGGCGAAGTTCATAGTCGAATGCCATGATAAACGGGCTAGGATGATGCTCCTCGTGATCAAGGAGGAACCAGCCCCAGGTTATGAATTGTTGTTGATAATTGGGGTTTCCTTCGCGCGGTGCATAATACGTTCTCACTCTGGCCTCCCAAGACGAAAGACGGGGATGTGCCAACGTTAAGAGGTTCAACATGATCTACTCGATAAGTATGGGTTATTACTAAATTCGGGAGGTTCTCGCGGAGGGGTGTATACTTACTAATCCTATAGCCCATACATTGATCGCAGGTGATATGGCACGAGGGTCTCGCGCGGACCTCTTATAGTCTTTTTGTTCCTTCGCAGTGTCAGTTGCCATTCAGCTAGTCAAATGGGAATTACACAACTTACTGGCGCATAAAAATCGCGCTTTCCTCTCGGTATTAGGAATTCCCTCCTAAGTCACGGACGAGGCATTAGAAATCTAGCAATATTCATTGTATAAAGGGTTACATAAAATGGAGAAGAACTAGGAAAGGAAGTTTCGTACTGGCGAACCGTCAACCCGCTTCTCCAATCCATAGCAATCCCGAAGTCGGCTATCTATAGAGACAGTCAGTTAGTGGCAACAGGGTAGGCGTTTTATAAACAACAAACCTTTATTTTTGGGGACATGACATGTTCAGGGTCATATAGGGTGTGACTAACATCTCCGATAAGGACTTCTTGCTATCAGCTACATAAGTCTTAGGTTATATGATGAAGGAATCACCAACCATTATATATATCGAGGTCCATGTGAAGTAGCTGTTTCATTGGCCGCTCTCGCACAAATTCACGATAAGGATCCCCTGCTACGTAATTTGGGTCAGTTGGAGGCCCGTACGCCATTCCGGTAATTCCTCTGGCCACTGTATACTTTCTTTTAGTAGTTTCCTAATAAAGTCTGCGATCTAGGTCTGCTTTGACTTACAACACAAGAAAAGTCTCCATAGTATTCGATTAGGAATATAACCAATTTGCAAGCCACTCCTATCGTAACGCCCTGCTGCCCAAGGATTTTCGGCCTGAGCAAGTATTTCGTAATTCGTAAGTCTTGCCTTATTAATCCTATCTATAAGATCTGCGAGTGTATTTCTCTCAAGGACCTCCATAATCATGATCGGTGATGATAAAGCTGGATTATTGTAGAGCTTGGCGGTAGCCGGAACGTCTTCCTCGACATCGATAAGTTGGACGATATGTTCCGCACCTCGGAGTAGCTCCTATTGAAAAGTCAATAATGCGAACTTGACTAAGAAGCGTATGCTCACTTACTCCCTGAATATAGATCTCAGATCTTAACTCGCTCTCATCATCACCTCTTCTAATACTCGTTTTGACAGCAACGTCAACATCGCGGCCGCTGCGGGTTTTCACTTTCCACTATAGCACTAACTGTTAACGATAGTATATACGCTTTGTTTGTCATGATATCTTTAGTAGGGGGCTCATGTCCAAGTTGATGGCTAGTAAGAAAAGCTAGGCCTATTCGTTATAAGATAGTACCGGGATGGAGGAAACGGCAAATCCTTTAAGTTACATACCATCGTGGCAAGACCAAAACCGCCATAACCAAGTACCCTCTGGAATTTGATACGCCCTGGATAGTTTTCTTCGAAGTTTTGTTGGAGCTTTCTCAAGGACCTTCGGGCACGTAGAAAAGCCGGGTCTTCACCTGATCGAGGTTTTTCTCTACGGTCTCTAATAAGATGCTCTATATTTTAACCCGGACATTAGTGTCTGGTGTATGCTTTAATTTCTTGGTGGTTCCTTACTCAAGAGAATATTACTGCCATAAGGCCGATTCTGCCGCCTGTTGGATCTCCTCCTCCTATTATTCATGATTACGACAGATCAATACTTCACCCTGTGTTTCTATCTGTGCGTACCCTATAATTGTAAAGAGGTATCAATGAGGATTATGAATTATACAGATATTAAAACATTTCTGCCGTTGACTACGTGGGTATGTATGTAAGGCTGGGAAAGCTACTCTCGCCAGACAAAGACCTAAAGGGCACACTAAGGACAATTGGAATATCATTTTAGGGTAAATTGGATAAAGAAGAGATCGTTTCCGGAAAATGCCTTTCAAGCTTTGAAGCTATTGGGGGGGGAATAAAAAGATTGACACTTAGTAATCGATTTTTGACATGAATTGAAAGTTCTAAGGTTTACTTATTATTATATAACAATGTGGTAGCAAGGGGCTACTAGAACCTTGCTTTATACGACCGATGCTAATATCGTACCTACGTGGTGTATTTCATAATACTACTAGGATTTATTCGGAGAGAAGCAAGGTGAATATATTCCCTTCACTAAATTGTAACCCGCATTCATAAAAAGGGGTAAGCCGATATCGTGAGTCTGTAACCCTATTATCGCTAATAAAATAGGTACCTACCCGGATCTTAGGTGGTGAGTGGTAGTAATTGAATACCAAAGTACGATCGGCTAATTTGATATAACATAGCACGGGTTACCTTATTCTACTGATACCTTAATATAGGGGGAGGTTTATGGAGAATATATAGATGGGTAAACTTTGGACATTCATTTTATAGTTATTCATCATGTTTATATTATAATTTATTGTTATAAGACCCTGTGCCAGACCTTTTGTTTGATTAGACGAGCCACTGAGAGGCCGATGATAGGAATTAATTGGAGTAGGTAGCGTTTGCAAGAGTACCTGCGTGGATTAGGAGCCGCAGAATCGAAGATCTGAATGGTATATACAAGATCGCCAAGCCCGATCTACAACAGCCAAATATTAAAGTGGCTATATCGCGATTGGTCGAATAAACCTACCTTCGAGCCCTCCTGGTCCTCCTACATTGGTACCTGTAGTATGGAACTTGAAGAAATCGTGATTAGTAACACGCCAAAAAAAAAAAAAAAAGGGGGGGGGGGGGGACAAAAGAGAGGAGCTCATCTACATCCAGCAAAGAAATGTGGGATGAATGCGACAGAGGTAAGTATGAGATAACAGGGAATTAGCCGCAGTGGACCCCCAAAGTATCCACGATTGATATTCAGGCTAAATCTAAATTGTATAGAAGCGAGGTTCCAATCGACGAATCGACGAATCGACGAGGAGTAAAGTCAACAAAGTCGGGTCGCGGCGAAATCATTCTCCCAAGCGAATCACAGCGTTGCAATCCACGCTGCTGCTAGATGGTTGGAGGCTTTTTTCTTTTTTCTTTTTTCATTTCATTTCCGAGATAGCGTCGAGCTGCGTCTCGTCTAGACTTGTCTCGTCTCGTCGGTTTTGTTCCTAGCGAGTTTTCTAGCTGGAACTTACACCCGCCTTCTTCCCCGCCTCTGGCCCCAATGTCATACGTTTAAACGAGCAAATGAGAGGCTCGCTAATAGCTACCCCCCCATCTTCTTCGTGTGGAGGACTGAGTTCTTTCTATCGTGAGGAGGAGGTATTATCCACGCCAATCAGCTATAAGTCATGAGCCCACGATAGTACCATGGTGTAATGGGGTTTGCTCGGCGAGATATGGTCAGCCCAATTTTTCCTTCTTTAGCGAATGTTTTCACAAGCGCATATCTCTCCACATACGTAATGCGGTCGCGGGCGGAAGGGTTTATTGATGTAGGTCAGAGATGTAGTCAACAGTGTAGCTTATTTACTTTTTACACGCGTAGCTGGAAGGGAAAAAGTGTATAAAAAGACCTGCTCCCACCAACAGCATTCCGCAAAGACCATGCGATCTGTCATTACGTTTCTTTCCCCTTGTAGTTCTCGTCTACTCTCCCGTCGGTTCGCTGTGCCGCTAAAGCATCCCGGGATATTGAACTGCTATCCAATCACTAGCACTTACTATCGTCACTTTAGTATAAAATCGACTACAATGGCCCCGACTATCAAGCTGAGCAGCGGCCATGAGATGCCCCAGGTTGGCTTCGGTCTGTGGAAGGTTGACAACGCCATTGCCGCCGACACTGTTTACAATGCCATCAAGACCGGCTACCGGTTATTTGATGGTGCCTGCGGTATGTCTAGCTCATCTATATTTTCCTATACATTATCGTGAGTTTGGCGCGTGAAGAGTTCTCAGAAGTAATAAGAGCCCCTCCTCGGGTATCATTACCCCGCCGCCCAGCATTTCAGAGGTAACCCCTGGTCTGCATTTCACGTAAAGATCCCAGGCGTGTTAATCTACACGGAAGGGGATTATTTAGCTGCCTTGCAATAAGGTCTACCTGGGAACTATAATGGGTTGCTAATGCGTTTTCTTCGTCACGTTAGATTATGGTAACGAGAAAGAGTGTGGTGAGGGTGTAGCGCGCGCAATTAAGGAGGGTATTGTGAAGAGAGAGGATCTCTTCATTACATCTAAGCTATGGCCAGTCTTCGAGGACGGTGATAAGGTAGAGCCCGCCTGCAAGCGCTCCCTGTCCGACTGGGGTCTTGAATACTTCGACTTATACCTGATCCACTTCCCCGGTGCTCTAAAGTACGTCGACCCGGCCGTGCGGTATCCTCCGGGATGGCACTACGATGGCAAGTCTACCATCGTCCGATCCAACACTCCGATGCACGTAACCTGGGCTTCTATGGAGGAGTTGGTAAAGAAGGGGTTGACCAAGTCGATCGGCGTGTCAAACTTCCAGGCGCAACTGATCTACGACATGCTGCGATATGCAACCATCCCCCCAGCTGCTCTGCAGATCGAGCACCACCCATACTTGGTGCAACAGGAGCTATTGAGCCTCTGTAAGGCTGAGGGTATCGCCGTCACGGCCTACTCCTCCTTCGGCCCTGCTTCTTTCCTCGAGTTCGGATTTAAGCACGCCAAGGCCCTCGTACCCTTGATGAAGGACGACCTAATTACCAGTCTAGCCGAGAAGTACAAGAAGCAGCCCTCGCAGATCCTGCTACGGTGGGCTACTCAACGTGGTCTTGCTATTATCCCTAAGACGACCCGTCCTGAGATCATGGCCGAGAACTTCGACAGTACCGGATTCGATATCGAGCCGGCTGATATCGACAGCATCACTGCTAAGAATGCGGGCATTCGCTTCAACCAACCTTCTAACGTGGGTCTTGACATTTCTGGCTTCATTTGTTTACTGCCTGCTGGCGTCCAAACCTAGGTAAATATATGCTAACCTTCATGTCTCTAATTAGTACTTCGACACGGATAAGATGTGGATCTTTGGTTAAATAGGCTGGACAGCGGGTTCTACTGTATTCTGCACTTGAGCTTCTCGACATAATCAGGTTTTAAGTAAGCTAATATGCATGCTGGTAGAGGATCTTCGTCGTTGACAGTGACGATTGTGGACACTATTGTAAAGTCTGTTATGATCATGGGAGTCAGTTCGCTAGAACGGTGTCTAGGTAGATTAGACTTTTCCGACCTGTATCGTGATATCAACACCGACGGGATGAATACATTCTGAAACTCGTAATTTTCCATTTCCGTGAGCGTATGGTTATCTTTGACATAGATGCAGTGTCGAGCACTGTTCGTCTCTCTTTTGCCGAGTTACATATCCCGACGGCGGCTTGAAAATGTCAAGGCCGTCTGCTCTTGAATGAGCATCTTATCCTAAAGCGATCCTAAAGCGACTTAATCTGACAATACAAGGAGGGCTTATTTTCGCTCGATCCCAAACTAATTCTTCGTGGTAAACCCCTCCTGAACGCCGTGCTATGCAATATGAAAACTCCACATCAAACAAATACCCGTCTTATGGAAATAGGTTCACGGTTAAACCGCCTTCACAAAAGCTATTATCTCCAGTGTCAGCATTGGATCATTTGTTTATCTCTGTAATGAATACTCACTAGCATCAATCTGCTGGACTTGCGGTAGCGCCAGTCGCACTTTATTCCGATACAGAACAGGTTGTTTCAGCTGTAAAGGATTTCCCTCAAAATACACCGTTGTTAAATTCTCCTTGTCGGCCAACTCCCGCTCAACCTCTGCAAAGTCTGATATTTGGTTATAGCTTGCCCATACTTCTTCGATGTTCTTCAGATTGCTCAGGCCTTTTAGGCTCTGGATTGCGTTATTCGAGATGTCGATGATGGTCAGATTCGGGCTTCCGTCCAAACCATCCAGGCTTTCGAGGGCATTATGTGAGATATACAATTCCTCTAATTGAGGGACTTCGCGTAGAGGAGAAAGGTCTTTAATTCTATTCGATTGGATGCTCAGGAGTCTTAATTTTGGCAGGCCGGCTAGGCCTTTGAGTTCGGTGATTTTGTTCTTTGCTAGCCAGAGTTCCTCCAAGTTCTTCAACGCATCAAGATTCTTGATCTCCCTTATCCTATTCGAGCCCAACTCGAGCTGTCGGAGTTTTGTTAAAGTCGACAGCCCGTCGATGGTACTAATCTTGTTGGATACGAAGAAGAGATCGGTAAGTTCCGTCAAGTGCTCAATGTGCTTGATGTGTTTAATCTTGTTGAAGCTGAGATCGAGGGTTGTGAGGTTAGTTAAGTCGTCTAACCCCCTGATGTGCGAAATGAGGTTATCGTATAGGTCAAGCTCCTCTAGAGTGGGGCCTAAGTCGGAGAGCCCCTCGATGTGCTGGACGAGGTTTTGACGTAGGCATAGTCGCACCACCTTCTTAAATCGTTCCAACCGGAGAGCAGAGATAGAAGAGATTCGCGAATGTGTAAGACTAATATCATCCGTATCGGGATCTTCGTCGTCAAGGAGGTCTACACCAACGGTCAATAAAGGAGTTCCGTTGATTAAGGTGCCAGTAGAAGATAGGGTGTTAAATGAACTTACCCTCATCTGCACCTATTTCTTCTCCTGGAAGTACATTTTCATCGTCCGAGTATTCGGGATCCGACAGAGCTTCGGGATTCT